ACTCCCTAAGAATATGAGGATTATGTGAGTCCGATTTACAATCCCCTCCCTCGCAAATCGAAGCTCGTCTGTCCATGTAATTTTGGATAAGAAAATTGGACTTCATTTTATAAGTTCCTTTCTTTTCCTGTCAGATCGGCTGTCTTTCTTCATTTTTCACTCTCGAAGCATTCTCACGACCAACTAAGAGCCTTGTTTTGGCTTTATGTTGTAAAGCTGCCATTATTCATCTGTGATAGAGTTACTTCCTCGTTATCCTTGACGCGCCTATTCGATATGTGCACGTTGTCGCCAGCGCCTAAAGTCGGTTTTAGAAGCTTTACAGTGAATAAATCCAATTGCTTAAGAAATTATACACGCTCAAAAAAAATAATTATTTAATACAGTTTATTAAGTTTTATCCTGCAAACTATGCCACCATGTCAGAAAGCACTTTTTTCGTGTTATGTAATTCATTTTTCAAATACAACGCGTAATTCAAGTTTCGAATTTTATTGTTTTCCAATCGCAAATTCACTGTTTCCACACAAATTACAGAAGCGACTAAATTCGTTAGGTGCAGTCCGAAGGCAAGAGTATGTATAAGAATTTCGTTATTTTATGAATATATATTATCGTGCGTATAGTAGTTAGATGGTTATCAGTTATGATTGGGTGATTCCCCGCATCTACATGGAATGCCACGTTGCCAGTATGCTTACACAATTACACTAATGTCTTGTTAGAATTGGGCGGTAAACTTAACTGCGCGATTACTGTTTTAAAAAGTAGTATGTACTACTACATCTGCCTTCAGTAAAGACATTGTTGGAAACGGTTCATTGTATTGAGAGTCGCATGGTGCCCGGGGTGACAGTGGAACGGAGCATCTCTATGGAGATGATGATTGTTTTCGCCTTCATTGTCTTGCAACCACCAGCACCAGGCTAACAACTGAATAACACGAGCAATGTTGCCAAGTAGAAAGCGTTAATTGTAAGAAAATTATTAAAAAAAAGCACAATATTGCTTTCATTTTAATTTACTGTTAGATATACGTGAAATCCATGATATTATGCAAGTTGGATAGTATGCAAATATATGACCAATGAATAAGATTCAACGTTTCGTTGTTCCATTGTACCTTCATTAGCTATCCTGAAAAATTAACATTTTTGTCAGGATAAGTTAATCATCATTGTCTTCAGCATAGTTGACAATTAAAATACAAAACGTAAAATGAATAGAATTAGATTTATTTTGATTGAGATATAATGCTAGAGATTTGAGAATGCATTTATTATTTCTTTGAACAGTTCAATATGAAAAGATTGTGATCATGTGGCTTATGGTTAATCAAATTTTTATTTACTGTTCGAAAGAAGTTTCGAGTGCACCAATCTGAATTTAAAAATTTTGATAGATCCACAAAGGTTT